TAGCTGTAAAAAATCATCAAAATCGGAGTTAAAATAACCGTTAGATCATGATTTTTTGTTTATAACCGTCGAAAAGTTTTGTCATGTTACTTGATCTCTGAATGTTTGTTTTTTGCGATTTTTGGCATATAAGATCTCGAAGCATATACAAACAATTTTGACGGTTGCATCGTTGAAATTAGTTTCGTAGGATGCGTATACCATCAAAATGATAGATTCACTAGCACTTAGAGTTTATTTATACTTTCATTAAGCATAACATAAGTTTTTGTGGTATCCATTAATGTAAATATTTTAAATTGAAGATCAAATTCAATCATTGTATTCATATAGGGTCAAAGAGTGTAGCTGTAAAAAAATCATCAAAATCGGAGTTAAAATAACCGTTAAATCGTTATTTTTCGTTTATAACCTTCGAAAAGTTTTGTCCCGCTTCTTGATCTCGGAATGTTTGTTTTTTTATGATTTTTGGCGTATGCGATCTCTGAATTATAATTATTATAGTTTTTAGGGGTATAAAATTGTTGAATTAATATATATAATTATTATAGAATTAATAAGAGACTAATATGTGGCATAGGCTAAAGCCTATCTTCAAGATGGCTGACTTTTCAAACAAAATAAAAGCCACACTTCCACACTTGAATCTGTCAACCAAATTGATAAAATCCACACGTAGAATGAGAGGCTGATCTGTGGCATAGGCTAAAGCCTATCTTCCAGATGGCTAACTGTTCAAACAAGATTAAAGCCATACCTCCACACCTCCACACTTGAATCTGTTAACTAAATTGATCAAATCCACACGTAGAACGAGAGGCTAATCTGTGGCATATGCTAAATCCTACCTTCCAGATGACTGACTTTTCAAACAAGATCAAAGCCACACGTCTACACTTGAATCTGTCAACCAAACTGATCCAATCCACACGGAACCCGAAGCCAGTGAGCTCCCAAAATGCCTCATGCTAGGTAGAGATGTGAATATACATATGAGGCTTATAGGATCCACACCCCTGGACGATGTGGGATTTTACACCACACATCCCAAATCAATTTGAATTGTACTGTTTGCTTGGAGATATAATTATGTCCTTTATTTTATCAAACCCATACTTGCATAAGGAGTCAAAATCTCCTACTGATGCATTCCACATGGCAAGAATCAAAAGGCATATACCATTTGTATTCATGTGATAATCATCACATCCTACTACATCATCTGATGTCGCGCCTTAATGCACATCCATATTCCATCATATTTTGGGGGTATAATTATTCGAGTATATTTAATATATATATATATATATATATATTATAGTTTTTAGGGGTATAAAATTGTTAAATTAATATATATTATTTTTATATTATTTTTTTAGGGTTATAAAATTATAAAATTAATATTCTGTTTATCGTGTTTCATGTTACCCACGTGTATACCCGAACCAACCCGTTATCTTAACAGGTGCTTATCGGGTTACCCGATAACGACCCGAATTGTTAGCGTGTCGACCCGAATACCTGTTAATTTTGTGTCGTGTCGTGTCGGGTTATCGGGTTGTGTTAGGAATTGCCAGACCTAGAGCTAATGCATGTCCTGTGTCGGAAGGTCAAGGAAGCTAATGGCCTAATGCCATGGGAGCCGGCAATTAAAACTTCAGTGAGAAGCGATCATAACTATAACGGTCCTAAGTCCAAAAATTTCTTGTCGAATAAGTTTCAAGTTCCAACACAGTACGAAAGACCTAACGCTCTAGACAATCTCAAGCAGTTCCAACCCAAAACCCAATTGTCAAATGAACCTCACACCTTTCTCAAGCTCTGTAGGCTAGTTGGTATCCACATTCCCAAAGGGCCAAATGGACCATATCAAATCAACCCAATCAAAAGCCCAATCAGATTGCAAACAACCCACATCCAAATCAAACACGGGTCAGAAATGACCCAAATTTCAAATCGGGTTAGCCTTCTCTGTCTGTCTTCCCCTAAAACCCTAGACTTTTTTTTACTCTGTTGTCACAGAAAACGCAAAAGTTTTCAATCTTTGAAAATCGTAAGGAACCATGATGAACGGCGGTCGGCACCAAAACAAATTCGCATGGAAGCCAAACCTCGGCGTCAAAATCAACGAAACCGAGGTCGGAGGCCGGTTCCGGCCGCTGTCGGAGATAACGGGGGTCTGCCAGCGCTGCAAGGAACAGATCGAGTGGAAGCGCCGTTACGGAAAGTACAAGACCCTGACGGAGCCCGCCAAGTGCCAACGTTGTACCAAACGAGCCGTCCGTCAGTCCCACCATAAGCTCTGTGCTGCTTGTGCTAAGGAACAACGTGTTTGTGCGAAGTGTTGCTGTCGTGTCGAGCAAATTATCGGAAAAGACCTTGCGGAAGTGGAGTCTGAGCAGAAGCAGCTTCAAGAGGTTTGATTTTTTAATGTTGTTTTTGTAAAGTTTCCAGTTTTTAACTGGTTTTCGATTCGAAAATTGACGGAAATTGATGGGTTTGTTTTGTTTTGTGGAAATTGTAATGCACAGGCGATCAAAAATGCAAGAGAAAGAGATAGGAGGAGTCTGTTGCGTGCGGTATGTTCTCGAATTCGGACACATTTGTTTGTTCTTGTATTGGATTGTGAATCAAAAGTTGCATAATTTGTGATCTCGGATTGTACTGTAACAGATGAATGCTGGAAAATCTACGGGTGTAGCGAAAGCTGCAAGCGAGAAAGGAGACAAAGCGGGGGACCTGTTCCCGTCTGCGTCACTCGAAGAATATGCAGAGGCAAGCAGAGATGATGAGGATGACGAAGGTGATGATGGTGAAGGCGAAGAAGATGAGGCACATGTTTGCAATCAAAAGAGGTTCTAAGTAGTATTTCAGTAGCGAACGTGTCGATTAGGCCAGTTGCCGCCCATCCTTTGCACGCAAGTTCGAAATCGCTTGCATCTCTTTGTACCATCAGCGACAAATTGGGCAAAGATATCCTCGTTTCTTCAACACCATGAAGAAGGTCTTGAAGAAGTAAACTGATCAACGTCTTTTTTTTTTTCGTGTTTCTTTCGTTGTTTTAGTGGTCCACGCATAATTTTGTACAAGTGCTTATGCACAGAAACTTTGAAATTTTGTTTGTTTTTAATTATCAATGAAGTAGGTCTTGTTTAATATTATCACAGATCAAGTTGCATTGCTTTTGGTGGTTTCTTGGGTTAAAAGCAAGCTTCCAATAAAGTATGCTAGGCACCTGGGGAAGATCGAAAGCTCAATAGAAAAATAAGATAGATCCAACTTCACTCTTCAAGTCAACAACTTCGAGAGTGAATGAATCTTCAAATGGTTGTTATTTCTCCGAGTTGGAAGGAAGAAGAAAGCCAATCTTACGAAATGCAGAGGGAAAGCAGTTTTAAGCCAGTCAGATGCCTTCTTGCGACGATGCTATGTGCCATTCTCCTTGTCAGCCCCGTTACAGTCTTCATTTTCGGCTTTCATATCTCATATCCGCAATCCTTTTTCTCTTTCAACGCCAGTATCTCCCACGACCAATTTGTTATGCCTCACTCCCTGCACACGGATGTCTCTCATTTGCAGATCCAGCTGGGACTTTTGTTGCAGCAGCTGCATAATGAAAGTTCCGAATCAAAAGTACTTCTGAAATTTTCGGATCAGGTGCTTCGCATCGCCATTTCTTTAGACAAACTTGCTGATAGCATTGAAAAGAAGCATCAACCGGACAAAGATGAAGTAAGCACCGTGGATGAAGATTTCACAAATCCAGAGATAGGTGAAGCTGAAGCTGAAGAACAGGCTCCAGGTGGCACAATCTTCACTTCAGGTGAGATTCGTATTTACATTTCACCAAAACAAAACAGGCAGATTGGGAAGAAAAATTTTCTTGGGGTAGAAGCAATAACTCCATCAATTGGGTTGGCTTGTGCCCGAATGGCAACCAATTTAGACCGGTTTATGAGTTATAAGATCCACGGCACGTGCCCAGATGATTCGGAAACAGCTCAGAAGCTTTTAGTTCATGGATGTGATCCATTGCCAAGAAGAAGATGCTTCACAAAATCACCGCCACACTACACCAAACCACTTCCTATAAACTTCTCCCTTTGGACTCAACCTAGCAATGTTAACATCTTATGGAACAGTTACAAGTGCAAAGACTACTCTTGCCTTGTTTCGAAAGAAACCAAGGACCGAAGAGGCTTCTTCAAATGCTCGGACTGTTTTAACCTTTCGAAACAAGCTTGGGACACACCAACAAACGAGTCTGAATCGGCAGAGTTCACCATCGATGAAGTTCTAAGCTTAAAGCCGGGGGAGATAAGAATCGGCCTAGATTTTAGCCCGACCACGGGAACATTTGCTGCTATCATGAGGGAAAAGAACGTTACCATTGCATCAAGTACCTTAAACTTAGGGGCTCCTTTCAATGAGGTCATCGCCTTAAGAGGCCTTCTTCCTCTTTACACATCAATCGGTTCGAGGCTACCTTTCTTCGACAACACCCTCGACATTATCCATTCCACTTTGTTCTTGGATGGCTGGATTGGAGCTGAACTCCTTCAGTTTGTATTGTTTGATTGGGACCGCGCCCTTCGGCCGAAGGGTCTTCTTTGGATAGACAGGTTCTTCTGTCACAAGGAAGACATGAAGTTGTATTTGGACGAGTTTAAGAGGTTAGGCTACAAGCCATTGCTATGGAGGGTAGTGCCCAAGACTGATAAGCTTGGAGATGAGCTCTTCTTCTCAGCTGTTTTGGAGAAGCCAATCAGAGGTTAATAATCGTCGTTAACGAGTAAATTCCAGAGTTAATAATCGTCGTTAACGAGTAAATTCCAGAGGTTAATAACCATCGTTAACGAGTAAATTTCTCAATATCTTTGTGTTTGAATGAATACCGTGATATTTTAACGAGTAATACTTGTCGTTAACAGCAGGGATTAAGCATTTCTATTGGACATTGTAAGGTTTGCAATTACATTGATATTTTAAAGAGAACAATATATAGCAACATGAAATTATTATACGACTTGTATTAATAATACATTTTGAAGTACTTAGAGCCAACAGAAGACTTGACATAAAATCAAGCGCAGTGACACTTAGCACAAAACCGAGCGCAGTGACGTTCTAAGATTTCTACAGCCGAATCCCCTTAGTGGGATAAAACTTTGTTGTTGCATTAACAAGTTGAAATTCCCCGCTCAGAGTGAAGGTACACTTGCTATAGAACAAAAAATTCAAATGAGTTCAATTAAATTTTTAAAGAACGATATCAAAACTATGTAGCAGAAAAATTCTTGAACGACCTTTCCAAAAGTATGCATATTGGGATATATTGGGATCAAACTGCCCAATCGAAATTAACAAAACAGGCTTCACTGTCCACAATCTCTAGCATTCCTCGAAATGTTCGGTACCAGTTTATTTCATAGCCAAATTTTCTGTCGCTGCACAGTCGCTCAATGGCAAGAAGAAAAGGTTGTGGATGGAAGAGGAATGACAACAGCTATTCATCTTTTGCGCACAAGCGCTCTGAAAGTAAAGTAAACAACAAAAAAGAAATCAGTTAACAATTTCAGGTATTCGCAAGTCCAATGCTTTTTGCTTGAGAAGTTCAACAGCAGGAATTTAAAATTTCTGCATGTATAGATTTCGAGATAGGTCACCAAAAGTAGATTGAACCTAGAAGTTGGGTAAACATTACGTGATGGAAACACAGAGAAGAGGACCCAAAATATAGGTAAGAGTTCGTACTCAGATATTCATAAGCCAATATCATCGAGGTGCCCCAGGCGGACATACTGAAAAATCTTGGACCTAGCCCTCTGTAGAAACCTTGCCAGCCATCTTCTCTGATCAAGTTCTTAACAACTTCTCTTGCAGTGGGTCTCTTATCGTGTCCCATTGTCTACAATACAGCGACATAATTATTTTAAACACAAATTTGTTGACGACTTGATCAAATGAAGATGAGCAAGCTGCAAGCCAGCAAAGTAACCAGATACATTAACTGTTTATATGAATACCTGCAGTCGTGTCTTGATGGTATCCAATGGAGTTGTTATGCAGGATGCTGTTGCACCTGCAATAATTCCACCAGCAGCTTGAACCAACACTATTTTCCCCACGCTTGGAACAGCCTCTTCAGAACCAGTTCCGCGGCCTATGAAACTGCTTCATAAACCAGGATAATGTAACACTGAGATATTTTTTCAGGCAATAAAGATAAACTGTTGACAAAAGGGTATTTGATTCACCTAAACTCCTTCGCCTTATAACTTCATCTAAGAGGAACAAAGTTCATATACCTAATTATAGATATTCATTGGCTTGATGGACTTTAGAATTGCTAACCAACCTAACAACCGACAAAGTCGCAGTACTGATGATTATGTCCAACAATTCATTACTTCTTAACATAACTATCATGTTCCACTAACACACTCAAACCAGAGACCACCTAAAACGAACAATAAAAAGATACACCTCCAAACTTTTCATGCCCTTGTAAAATGATAAATAGAATGTTCAACAGAAAATCTTTAGTTATGTATGGCCAACATTCATTTGAAAGATATAAAATTTACTGATTAACGAATTATCAATTAGTTGACCTAGTTTAAGAATAAAAAAAAACTAGAGTTAGTGGACAACAAATTACCATTTCTCACCTCCAGATTAAGCGCTGGCTTGAACCATAACTAGCCCACCATACGGCGCTAGATGGAGAGTAAGTCATAACAGAAAGTCCAAACCCTCTATAAAGTCCTCGTATGCCATCCAACTTTATAACCTTACGAGCAACATCCATCCCCCCGGTGTACCTTGCATGGCCCGAGTACCCTTGCACCATCAACCTTTGACTAATCTAAACAAAACCCATTACTCAAAATTAGCATCTCAAACCCCTAAGTACAAAAGTACTCAAATGAAACTGATAGATCCTATAAAGTTATTTACCACATCAATGGGAACAAAGACAGCCTGAGAGAAAAGCGAGGCAGTCATTCCAGCTACTCCATTAGCCAAAGCTGCCTCTGTAGCCTCAGATAAGTTGAAGGGTTGAACCATCTTGAAAGCAGCCACCTTGGTGGCCTCTAAAGCAGTGAGAAATATAATCCGGGCAGGAACTGCACCGGTGATCACAGTGCCAAATCCTCGGTATAAACCACGAATACCATCTGCTTTCCAAATGCCTTTGGCCATAGACAATGCATCTCCCTCTAGAGCATCTTTGGAAGCAACTTGTAGCCGGGTTTTCACCACGGATACTGGGTACAGTGCCACTGTGACCCCTGTAAACAAGCCGGCTCCAACCACATAAAATTTAGTCTTATCAAGCCTGCATAAAATTCAATACACCACAAAGTTCGCTCATTTGAACACCCAACCAATATATAAATCACGGGTTTCGGATTTCGTTTCGAACTCTTCAATTAATCAAAGAATTCATAGCATCATCAAAACTCAATGGAGCACAAAATTCACTCATTTGAGCACTCGACCAATATATGGGTTTCCAATTTCCTATCGAATTCATTGATCAATTGAAGATTTCGTAGCATTAATGTCAATGAATTCACACCCAGAAACATCTACAAAACGCAAAAACAAAGCGATAACAAATGGGATTTTCTCAATTAATGGACAAAAATAAAAATTGATCGAATAAAGAACATACTTGTCCCAATTAATCTCGGTGTTGCCAATGGAGGCCGCCATGGAGGTCGCTCGAAATCGAAGAGAAGGAGGAGGAAGCCGGCGACTCGGGATTCAAGAACGCATCTTGTTTCCGAATCCGAAAAATCCCCCAAGAATCTGGGAAACGGGTACGAAGTTTGATTGAAACGATTAGCGCGTGGAAATGTAAGGAGTTTTCTTCTCGAATTTGGGATTTGGGAGAACTTTGATTGCTTGGCGGAGGAGGAATTGGAGAAAACTCAACCGGCCGACTCTTGTTCTGTTTACGGCGGCGGCTCAGCTCGGGTCAGGAGGTTGTTTTTGCTTTGCAGGGTGGTGTGTGGCGTGCTTCTCCCAAAATTCATAAAATTAACAACACATTAATTACTTATTCATTTAATTAATTCCAACAGAAAATCATTTAATAATTATTTTACCAACTGACAACTAACCATTCAGTCTCCACAAACCTTCTTCTCCAACAAACTATTTAAAATGATACTGATAGTGGTTTAAAAATAATATCGTTTGTTAAAAATATATATATATTTGAAGCATCTAGTAATATTCGAAGTGCCATGATATCAGTATTTTTTATGTTTTTTAAGCTATTATTTAAGATTTTGACACAAGAAATCATTGTCTTGTCGCTATTTATTTTGCTACTCTCACCTTGTTTTATTCAATCTTCTTGTGAAGACGAAACTTCCTGCCATGAATAGCCTTCAAAACCATTGTCATTCTCTTATGCATTGAACTTCATTAAAATTTATGTTTTATAAATCTATTAAAATCTTTCAAAATCTCAATTGAATACAATTTCAAAAACTTGATTCCGTTTAGTCCGGGTCGGCGATAAATTTGGTCCGGGCCGGGATTGCTATTATAATTGAACAACCAGATAGCCCAGTGGGGTAGATTCTATTATAATTGAAATTGGATTGTAACAAGTTGGTGAATTAGCAAATTATTGGCTTTTTTTTCCTTTTTTTTTATTGAACAAATTAATGGGCTTTAACTTAATTAGCGAACCCCATGCATGCACATGGTCGCCCGTTTGATTTGAATGGATGGTTCTGAAAAGTGAAAACACGTGTACACAATACGTTTATTTTTTAGAGTTATGTTTTGTGAAAAAGTAACCGTTTAAAGTATAAATCTCACATTAGAAAAATATATAATTTTTTTATATATTTATAAGTAGTTAAGTCACTCTCCGTATAGTTAATTGGTTTTGCGGTGAATCTCAATTTTGTTTGTGATATTATTAGATCAGGATCTGTTACGTGTAAAGTTTAAGTCCACGTATGCTTTATGTCACCTGATTTATGTGGTTCATGTGTTATACTTTAAAATTGTCAGAATAAAAAAAAAAGGTTTTTTAACTTTAATCCTTCAAGAAGATTGAAATTTAAAATAAATCTGGTGTTAAATTACATATTGATTATAATTCCTAGATGTGTCATTAATTCAAAATAATTAATGTGTATTTTATTTAATGTCTCCTATTAAATATTTAAATTTATAAATAAACAAATTTTAATTTATTTTTTGACCAAAAAAGAGTTTTTTAATTTATTAATTTTATTTAACATTCTTCAAACTTGAAAGACTCAATTAGTGTAACTAAATGTTAGTATCAAAATGTATTATATTGAACTAATGTATTTAAATGTTAGTACCCAAATATACGCACCAAAATGTATTACATTAAATTAATGTACCTAAATATGTGTACTGAAATGTATGCACCGAAATGTTAGTACCAAAATGTATTATATTGAATTAATGTACCTAAATGTTTATATCGAAATGTATGTACCGAAATGTGTGTACCTAAATGTATGCGCCGAAATCTATTATAATGAATTTAATATACCTATATGAAGAGGACAAAGTACATCGAAATATATTGTATAAAAAAAATTAGTTTATCTAAATGTTTACAACAAAAATAAAATTAATACAGTAAAAATTAGGAAGAAAAAGAGGAATAATTAAAAAATCAAAATATGATTAATAAATGAGGTTATTAATATATCAAGAGACTAAAAATGCAAAGTACAACACAATCAAATTTCCAGAGACATAATTTTTTTTTTTTACTAAACAATATTATTTATACTAAGGGGGTAGGGAAGCGGGTTAAATCTCACAATGGGATAATATGGTTCAAATTCGTCTTTGGTAAGTCTTTTAATAACTTTACCACAAAAAAAAAAAGTCTTTTAATAGCTATAGAAGGTTGCACAAGAGAGATAGTATGTGCCTAACTATATTGTTTGACTACAATCTCGTTTGACAAGTGCTTTTAAACGATTGAAAACGTTTTTAAATAAAATGTTTTTTGAACCAAATCTTAGTAAAAATGCAAGTTAATTCTGAAAACAGCAAGAAGCACATAACATGTATTTTTTTAGCAGAAAGCACTTCAAGTACTTTAAGAACAAAAATATTTTCTATAAAAGTACTTTTAATGCAATTCAAAAATATTCTCTAAAAATACTTTTAATCATTTAAAAGCACTTGCCTAATGAACCGTACGTCACGCCATTAACTTACAAATATATGTTGAAAACTGGATTTTAGAGACTGCTAATTGGCATCCACGTGTTTGACCAATACCATGCACATTTTATACGCAAGAAAATTAGGACAAGGTCTAGATCTGTATCCTCGGAAAACGGTTCATAAATATTTGGACTTGACTTTATCCTCGTAACTTGTTAACCACATAAAGATTTCATTTCATTAAATCATAAAATAAGAATACATGAATTGCCGCTTAGTATTACGGTCTAATGATATTCATCTTTACTTATAAGTGAGAGGTCTTATGTTTGATTTTCATTAAAGGCGAGTTTGAACTACATTATTGTTAGTCCATTGTGATGATAAAACCTCATCCTCCCCCTTAGTGTAAATAATATCATTTGTTCAAAAAAAAAAATGCATGAATATTTCAGTAAGGTCTACTACTAGAATACAAATCAATAATATATTTATGTTATGGGTGGACAGTGGAGGAACCAGAATTATATGTGAGGGAAAGCCTTTCATATGTGTATTGAGGAAAAAAAATTATAAACTCATAGTATGAGCAAGTGAAGTAATCTTCGCAAAACTAAAAGAAAGTCCTTTTAAAATTAATAGAGAGAACAGAGAGAAATGTACAAAACCATACAACTAAGTGAGAGGTGGAGAGGAGGGTAAAACGGACTAAAAATTAAAAAATATAGAAAAAAGTACGAAAAAATCTCGTTTGATAGAAAAATGAAGATTTGCAAATAATAGTTGATTATATTGCTTTATAAATAACATTAAAGTCTATTTTAAACTTGATTCCTAAAACTCTCTGTTTTGCTTGTCACGTAGTAGTAGGGTATAATGATATTTCTCTTTACTTGTAAGTTTGAGGTCTTAGATTTGGTTCTTGCCAAAAACGAATTTGAACCGTGTTATCATTGTTAGCCCAGTGTGAGACGTAGTCCATTCTCCCATCACTTTAATTCAATTGATATCGTTTATTCACCCAAAAAAAAAAACTCCTTGCTTTGCAAACATAAAGAAAACAACAAAACTATTAAATTTTTTTTTCTTCTACAAATGCAGGATTGGGGTGCCTAAATATTTTACATTGTAGCCAGGTGGGCTTAGAACCACCATGGTCCTTTAGGCCATCTCCAACCGAATGCTGGCTAGATGACTCATTTTAACCCTTTGGCCATCCAAGATATTAATATTTTAATGAATAGTACATGGTCATATTTGTCTCCATCTCCAACCGAGAGTCAAATGGCTCGTTTTAACCCTGTCACACAAAAAACCGTCTCTAACCGAGGCCCAAAGGCAATAGGGTCAAACATAATTTATTATTTAAATTTAAAAACTACAACAACTTAAATTTAAAAACAACAACTTAAATTTAAAAACTACAACTTATATTTAAAAACTACAAATTAAATTTAAAAACAATATTAACTTAAATTTTTTAAATTCATAAAAAAAAATTTGGCCTAAAAAAAATTTGAATCCAACGGTAACTAGCCGTTGCATTTGAAAATTTGGCCTAGCATTCCTGTCAGTTATATCCAACAGAAATGCTCTAATTTCTAGCCTAGCCAGGGGTTGGCTGGCTAGCTCATTTGGGCCAGTCAGTTGGCCCTTTGGCCCTTTTTTGTCTAGTGGTGTCCACGAGCCATTTGCCCTAGCCCTCGATTGGTGATAGTTTTGTCACATCCCAACCCTGGCCCCCACCACATCCCGGGTTTGACTCCGCAGTAACACGATATTGTCCGCTTTGGGCCCCGACCATGCCCTCATGGTTTTGTTTCTGGGAACTCACATAAGTACTTCTCAGTGGGTCACCCATTCTGGGAATGCTCTCGCGCGAACTCGTTTAACTTCGGAGTTCCGATGGAACCCGAAGCCAGTGAGCTCCCAAAAGGCCTCGAGCTAAGTAGAGATGAGAATATGCATATAAGGCTTACATGATTTATTCCCCTAGGCGATGTGGGATGTTACAATCCACCTTAGGGGCCAGGCGTCCTAGTCGACACACATCCGGCCAGGGATTGGCTCTGATACCAAATTGTCACATCCCCGCCCGAGCCCCACCACATCCCGGGCTCAACTCCACAGTAGCATGATATTGTCCACTTTGGGCCTCGACCACGCTCTCACGATTTTGTTTTTGGGAACTCACACGAGAACTTCCCAGTGGGTCACCCATTCTAGGAATGCTCTCGCACGAACTCGCTTAACTTCGGAGTTTCGATGGAACCCGAAGCCAGTGAGCTCCCAAAAAGCCTCGAGCTAAGTAAAGATGAGAATATACATATAAGGCTTACATGATCCACTCCTCTAGGCGATGTGGGATGTTACAGTTTTCAAGCGTTTTTCGACCATCTGGCTCTCTTGACCCTTCTATTGGAGATGGTCTTAGGCTATCTCCAACCGAAGGCTGGCCAGATGGCTCGTTTTAGCCATTTGGCCCTCTAAGATATTAATATTTTAATGAACAGTACATTGTCATATTTCCCTTCATCTCCAACCAAGGGAAACATAATTTATTATTTAAATTTAAAAACTACAACAACTTAAATTTAAAAACAACATTAACTTAAATTTTTTAAATTCATAAAAAAAAATTTGGCCCAAAAAAAAAATTTGAATCCAACGGTAACTAGCCGTTGCATTTGAAAATTTGGCCTAGCATTTTTGTCGGTTATATTCGACATAAATGCTCTAATTTTTTGCCCAGCCCAGGGCTGGCTAGCTGTCTCATTTGGGCTAGCCGGTTGACCCTTTTTTGTCTAGTGGGGTCCACGAGCCCTTTGGCCTAGCCCTAGGTTAGAGACGGTTTTCGGGCGTTTTTCGGCCCTTTAACCCTCCGAACCTTTCAGTTTGAGATGGTCTTAGGCCATC